AAGATGAAATTGTTAACAACCTTAGACTCAGCACCAATCCCAATACCAACAAAGAAGAGGAAGCAGGGAGTGTACCAAACGTGCTTCAGCACCCGAGATTCCTGTGCCAGCCAGGCTAGGACCTACACAAGAGCAGTAGCAGTTTCAGCAGAGAAGCAGAGCCTAATATGAGACACAGCTGGTATAGGACTGATGCCCCATGGAATCAGAGGCAACATTCTTCAACTTAAGTTTGCTGGAAGACTGAGGAAAGATAACTGGTAGGGTTAAGGGAACTTTGTAAGGTGTTTTTTTTAATTTTTTTTTTTTTTAGAAATAACACCTGTGAAGGTAAATATACAATATAATCAGGGAACATTAACTATTGCTATAATGTGTTTGGTGAAACTCCCAGATTGAAACAGGCTTGGAAGCAGGAGTGGCATCCACTTCTGAAATAGCTTGTCTCCGGAAACTCCATAAGCTTAGAGAAATGATGAAAGTTAAACAAGTGTTCAGGTCTTTTGTTCATAGGGTCGCTATGAGTCATGTACGACTCCACAGCACTTAACAACAACAACAGAATGTGTTATTGTTGTTCAGTGCCATTGAGTCAAATATGATTTATAGTGACCCTCTGAACAACAGGATCAGACAGGATTTCGCTCTGTTGCACATAAGGGCTCCATTGGGTTAGAACTGATTGAACAGCATCTAAGAGGAATAGGTGAATACTAAAGATTGGCCTAGAAACGGACTGTGGGAGAATATTCATTTACATGTGCTTTAGAAACCCAGCAGTTTATTTTTGGCAGTATTAACTCAGTTTTAGAATAAGAGTCTTCTGTACCAAGACAAGTAACGGCAGCAAAAAAACAAATCTCAAATTCAAGAGTTTGAATCAAAATGAGAAAAAATGGCCTTACATTTCTCCCAAAAAGTGTGACTCATAGACCTGAACGTCCCACATTATCAGCTCAACGTGTAACCTACTATGCCAAAATGAGCCTGCTGTTGCTTTAAAGCAAGAATGACCTATAAAATAGCCTGTGTTTGGTGTCATATTATCTACATGTACACTTTTTTTTTTAATTTTAAAAGTCTTCTGGCTATTCATTTTATTTTATTTCATTCATTCATTTTATGTGTGTACCGTCAAATTGGATCTGACTGGTACAGGAGGTGATTGTTCCTCCTTCTTCAGCAGAGCATCTGGTCGATTTGAACCACGCACCTCTGGGATTGCAGTGCAGTTTCCTGCCACTAGGCCACCAGAGCTCGCCCACTTTTTTCTTATGTAAACAAGTAAATGTGGGGGGAAAAAACCCCCACAAACAAGCTCCTGCGTTTTCTACAGGTAGGAAGGGGTGTGTGTGTGTGTGTGTGTGTGTGTGTGTGTGTGTGTGTGTGTTTAATCAAAGCAACTTTTATTACAGAAAAAGACCTAGTCCACTTTATGTTAAGATCATAGACATCTAGAAGGGAATCACAGAAAGACAACAGATTGGCAAGCCTACCTATCAGTGTATTAATATTGGTTAGAAGAAAACTTGACTAGACAATGACCTTAGATTATTTTTTTAAACTTATTTTTGTTGTGTTGGTGCTGTATCATCGAGTCAGAACTGACCCGCAGCTGACCCTCCCGTGGGTTTTCAGAGGCAGTAAATTGCACAAGAGGAGATTGTCTATCCTTGTCCTGCAGAGCAGCTGGTGAATTAGAACTGCGTGCGTTTCAGGACTGCAGCACAGTTTCTTACTACTAGGGCACCAGAGATTGTGATTGTTCACAGCTTCAGTTTGCTTGACTTCACGATCAACACTCTTGGTACCAGCAGCCAGGAAATAAACAAATTGCTTTGGATTTCCCATCACCTAAAGTAATGTCCTACTTTCAGACCTGGTAATGTCGTAGTGCTTTGTGTTCTGTCTGTATAACTGTTCTTGATTTTTGATAATAGTGATATCATACTTGTTTTCTTGTTATGGACTCAGCATGTTCATGTTCTCAAATTGATCTATGTTATAAGACGTTTCATAGACTCCTCAGTATTCTTTGCAGTTGTGCATTGTTTAATTGTACAGTAGTGTGTGTGTGTGTGTGTGTGTGTGTGAGAGAGAGAGAGAGAGAGATATATGGAACAAAATATTTGCCATTTCCATGAACATCCATGTGCATGGTATCATTACTTATTACAGCAAAGAGATAATATAAGCAATCCCAGTACCTATAAGTGGATGACTGGATAAGCAAATTTTAGTACATACACACAGTGGGATACTGTGCAATACTGAAGAATAACGAAGAATTAGTGCAACAGCAGGTAACATGGGTGAATCTGGAGAGCATTATGTTGAATGAAATAGGTTATCAGTCACAAAAGGACAGATTTTATATTATTCCAATATTACAAAAACCTAAGGAAACAACAACAACAAGGAAAGGTTTCCACACAGAAAGAAACATTGTTTGATGTGTACCAGCTGGGTGGGAAGGGAGAGCAAGGGGAAGAAAATATGAGCAAATAGGATAGCAGACAAATGTTAAATTCGGAAAGGGAAAGGCATTGTATCACTAAAGACATGGCAAAGTGTGTAAGAGCTACAGTGGACAAAGGTAAATACTGTTATGTGCATGATCCTGCACCAACAGCTATAAGAAACAAACATTCATGTATAAGTGACTATATAGGCAAACAGGCACAATGAAGCCAGAAAGGGCCTTACAGCCATGATCACACAAAGGTTTGGCAGATGATATTTCTATACTCATATTAGCGTATTCTGTAAATATTTCCATGTATATAGAAAAACCAGTAGGGGGCAAAGTTATGTAAACTTTGTCATAGTAATCAGACACCCTGTGTGAATGAGTTGGTGGACCTGGGACCCCAGGGCCATCATCTTAGGGGACATCAAAGTCAATTGACTTGACATAGTCCATAACAACACTGCTCTACTTCCTACTCTGGTGAGTAGTGTCTGACTCTTAAAAGCTTGCAAAGGGTCATTTATGCAAAAGGGCAGCATTTCCCTGAGAGTCAAGTTCAGATGGCAGGAAAAAATAGGACAAAAGGATTGATGGAAAAGAGAATCCCAGGGAGGAGGTGGGAAGAATGCAGTTATAATGTGGATATTGTATTCAATGTCATAAAACACAATGTTGATGGCACATTGGAAAACCAATTTATCCTGTAAACTATCACAATATTGAATAATATTTTCCATTTCAACATTCTTTATAATTCAGTGACATTATGTTCAATATTTTGTTCACCTGTGACCATTATTCATTTCCAAATTTTCTACATTTCTTAACTCAGTGTTCCCTGTTTCTTGATTTGTCAATTTAAAGGGATATGTGATTAGGTATTATTGTCATGACAGGAGTCCAGAACAAAGGCTGCATAATGGAGTAGACCTGGGGGGAGGGATTGTAAAACAATGAAAAAATTTTTCTTTTACTTCAAAGAGTGTACTGGGGAGGGCGGAAGGGGTGAGCAAGGAGAAAAATGCAACAACAAATGAATGGAAATCCAGACTCTCTGTAAATTTTCATTAAAATTAATAATAAAAAATAAAATAAAAAACCAACAAGTAACTTCTTGCTACTCGTTTTAGTGGGTTTTTTAATTTTTTTGGAAACCCAAGCACTAGATATTATTTGTTGTTGTTAAATGCCATCAAGCTGAATATGCCTCATAGTGATTCAGCCTGAACCTTGCCCTGTCCTGTGTCGTCCTCATCATTTCTGACACACTGGAGCCATTGCTGACGTCACTGTGTCAGTCCGTCTTCTTGGGGGTCTTCCTCCCTTTAGATGACCATCCACCTTCCCAAACATGCTTTTCCAAGGAACACTTTGCTTCCATGGAACACTCTGGCTGCGCTTTCTCCAAGACATATCTGTTCATTCTTTGTCTATGCCTACGTATTTCTAAGATGCATTACTGCGAGTATGATGAGGATGGCACAGGATAGGTCAGGGTTTAGATTGGCTGCTTACAGGGTCACTATGTGTGTACTAGACTTGAAGGTACCTAACAACAGTAACAGGGTGGGACCCAGGTGTTTGCACTGCTGGAAGATGCTCTGGTGATACTGGAATTGTGAGTCTGTAAAGCTACCTTTGATTAGTAAAGAGTTAGACCACATATGACCCCCCACACACACTTCTACTTTCTGTTTGCTTCAGTTCCATGAGCTTTCTTATCCTAGTGCCCATATCCCATGGGGCCATTGACTGCTGAGTCACCATGAGGGACTTGAGCACAATAAAGCTCTGTTTGACACCTTCAATCCTACTTGTTTAGTGTCTGATTATTGCTAGAGATACCGTCTCTTTCAGACAAAAAGACTGCCAATTTCTCTACGGTTCTGCTTAGCTTTTCTCCTATTTTTCTTCCACTGTCACATGGCCTGATTGAGTTTAATCAAAATATAAATTTACCATGTGTTCTCTGACAATTTCTTTTTGTATGTACAAATTTTCTTTTGTATGTACAAATAACATCTTTCCCCCATCTGTAGAACAGAATGCCTTTCTGATTCCCTTCAGAGCAATACTTCCCTTTGACCATCCTTTCTGATTCCACGTATATCTTTTAAAATATTTTTATTACCCTATAAAATCTTATTTGTGATATTACCCTGTTTTTATTGTATTACTAATCTTTTCCCTCATTCCTTTGGCACCACAATATACTATAATTAGGAAATACATTGTGTCTTTTATTATGATAAATATCCTTTTAAGACTCTATAAGATTATTCTTTCTCTATCTCTAAACTAAGTTCAGTTGTTTGTAGAAACAATAGCTCCTTGTCTCCCTGGAGATGGTTTTGTATTGTGAGTACTCAGTGTGTTTTCTCTCTCTTATTTAAGAAAAAAGAGGTTTAATTTGAATACTGTAATATTTGTCCTTTTTAGTGTTTATTCAATGAGTTTTGACAGATGTATACAGTTGTGTAATCAATACCACAATCAAGATATTTCTTTTACTCTAAAACTTTTTTCCCTGGCATCCATCCTGTTTCTCCACATCCAGCTCCTGACAAGAGCTCACCAGTTTTCAGTTTTTATAGCTTTTCCTTTTCCAGAAGATAGAGTCTGTATGCCTTCCATACACAGAGTCACTGTACCAAAAGGAATTGATTGACAAAGAACTATTTGAAGAAGTAACATGATCTAGATGGTAATGAAGGAATAAGTTCAATCTGCATAGAAATCATTGACAAAAAAATAAACAAAAAAAAAACCCTCCCAGGAATTGATTGAATTCCAAATGGCAAACAGATGTAGCCCTGGAAATGTTCTGTGCGAAGAAACTTGGACAATACCTACCTGGCCAACTGATTGAAAGAGATCCCTATTAATTTCAATCTCAGAAAAGGTGACCGAACAGAATGTAGAAATTTTGGAATAACATCATGACTATCACATGAAAGTAAAATCTTGCTAAAGTTTATTCAGAAACAACTGGAGCAGTACATTGACAGAGAAATACTAGAAATTTAAGCTCTATTTAGAAGAGACTGTGAAATGAACAATATCATTGCTGATGTCAAGTGAATCTTGGCTGAAAGCAGAGAATACCAGAACGTTGTTTACTTATGTTTTATCAACTAAGCAAAAGCATTTGGCTGTATGGATCATAACAAATTATGTATGGTTAACAATGAGGAGAATGGGAATCCCAGAATACTCAATTGTGCTCATGCAAAACCTTTACCTAGACCAAGAAGCTGTTGTCTGAACAGAACAAACTGCATGATTTGAAATTGTGAAAGCTGTGTGTCAGAGCTGTATCTTTCTTCTACTCAGTCTAAATGCTCAGCAAATCATTGTTGTCTGTTGATTTCAGAGAAGCCTGTCTTTTTGCATTATTTCAGATCAAAAATTTTTCCAATTGCAATTTTTAAAAAAATGATCAGAGATCTTTTCCTCTGGGTCATTGCTACAATTTCTAGGAGAGGTTAAAGAGAGACTTCTTTGGAAAAATCCCATCTTAAGCACACATTTCTGATATTGACATTTAGAACCAGCTTTATATTTTCTTTCATCCTGTTTTTGGACCCAGTTCTCTCTGTATCAATGTTTGGTCCCCAACAAACCAGAATGTATATCCCATAGGAGCTGCTTGATTTTTGTCGCCTGGACAAGTAGAGCATAAAATATCAGAGCAGCTGATCGATTTGCAGCAGCTCGGGCTACCACAGTCCAGATAGAGGAAACACAGCTAGGCCCCTACTACTGATACGATTCTCAAGTGTGAATGTAACACAGTCTATCCTGTGGTGATCCCAAAGTTATTTCCACTTTGACAATTTTCATGAGTAAAATGACTTTAGAAGCCAAGCGATAGTCCAGAATATAATTTTGCAATGTATGTCTTACGGGTTAGAAAACTGAAAAGGAAACAAAACCAGAAAAGCTTTTTTCCATTAAGTTTGAATTTATTCTTTGTGTTTACAGAAATTCTAAGAGCTGAATACAGGTAAATTTTGTGCCCAAAATTCTCTTATCTTTATAAGAATTTTGCATTATTCAGCCCTTTAAAATCCTTTAGTATATTTCAGATTATTTTCAGAATGAGATTGTGTTTTCCCAGAATAGATGCCCATACCTATTTTTTAATATTAAAAGGCTGTAATTTTTTTAAAAAAAATTAT